CACAAATAAAATTTGAACTTTAGCTATAGATTAGAAGGTGAACCGTTGCAGGTGATTGTTCTTCACCGGAAGGTTGGCTGAGAAGTGTGTTAATCATAAAGGCTGCATAATCTTTTAATCACATCTTAGATTTATGATACTGGTTTTCTAGCAGAAATGCCAAATGATGAGTTATTGGGTTTGATTGCATATCAGAAATAAAAATAATTCTTACACTGTTCAACTTTTCCCCTTGTTTTTCTTTTGGGTTTTATGTATTTATGGACACTTCTAAATGCATCTTTTTTTCTCATTTTGGGTCATACGAAATGTCATTTATTGAATCTCTGATTTGGTTTTTGTGGGCTTCAATGAATTTGTGCTTTATTATTTCTGTGCTTTTGGATTCGATGAAGCATAACTCTGTTTGGTCCCTAATTTCTTATCGATTGGCTACTGGTTACTCAATTTACGAGCCACCAATGAATGATGTTAGTAATACCTTCAAAAGAAAGCGTTAACAAATTACAGCACATAAAGAGGAATTGATTTATTGTCCTTGAGAGCCTTTGTTATTTTTCCATGCAGTACTAATGAAATGCCGGAGACTTTGCTACCCAGAAATGTCGGAGACTCTGGTTAGCAGGGTCTTCCTTTTCTATTTGTGAAATGCAATCGTCATAGCAAGATAAATGAAAAAAAAGCTCTAGTGAGAAATTGCCGGTAAAGAATAGTAGTTGGTGAAAAACGGTTTCTAGAAAATGGGAAATATTCTTAGGTAAATGGAATATTTTGAATGATGGTGCCATGCAAGTGTTTAGTGGTGTTAGGGTTTAAACTCTATTGTTTTGATCTGGAAAAAGGCTCATAAAATCACAAAGAGTGATGTTAATCGAATGAGAGCACTTTTAAAATTTTAATATATTTGCAATGATGCCCCAACAATTAATAAGGGGTAATTTTGTAATTTTATATGTTTTCCGTCTGGATTAGTGACGAAAGGGAGGTTTCTGTTGATTTTTTCAAAAGTTCAAGGGAGGTATTTGTTAAAGTTAAACTACAAGGGAGGTTTTTATGATTGCCAGAAACTTCAAGAGAGGTTTTTATATTTTACCCTTGAGTTTATTTCATGATTTTAAAAAAAAAACCGGTGATACCAATTCAAATTAAATTCCCATTAAAATAGTTAAGAAATGCCAAAGTCGGACCTGCCCAAATTGTGCCCATAAGGTGATTGGGCAAAGATTCAAGGCAAGTATTGGCAATAGGAATTCCTAATGTAGTCAAGGTTGGATATTATAACAGACCCAATCACATCCAAATTCGTTACCAATGTTTTAAAAACTGACTCGAAGGTCAAATCATTTTTGCCTCTGGGTCACAGGTCACTAGTTCGACCGGCTAGGTCGAATGGTTCACACCGTGCCATGTCATCACATATATACATTAAGTATGTGGTACATATGGTTTATGGAATTTAAACTTTTATCCCTTGTTAATTTTCCATACTCCAGTTAATAGTTTTCTAATTTATTTGAGTGGGGATGATTGCTTTCCCTTATTCAGTTTGTAAATTTTACAAAAATCATGTCGAGGAATATACCAGCTTACCAAAAAGAGGCAAAGTTTGCTTTAGTGGCTTTGGTGGAAATACCTTCTCAGTATAAAACAATGATGAGGCTTGACATATTGGGGTGGGTATCTACCTATCCACTCTTTAATTTTTTCCTCTAATATTTTGTTCTTTTGGCTTAGATTGGAAAGAGTATAACTACAAATTTGTAGAGTGCCAAACCTTGTATTTTGTATGTATTTGCACAATACATATTTATATTTGTACTCCTACCAGATTGAGCCTTTTGGAATGAAAATTATGTTTCCAAGGCCTAAATATCTAAACCTGAGTTATAATATCTTCTTCTTTTATGTGCTCAAGCAGTCATCCAAGAGGAAGGGCTCCAGACAGGTTTCTCTGCCCACACCTCTTTATGAAGAGTCTTCATCTCTGTAGTAGAATGCACCTTCTTATAGTGAACATGATATACTTGTTCCCACAGCTCCCCTTGCAAGCAATGCCTCTAATGACTTGGTACACACATTTTGATGAGCTTTTCTTTCTTCTTGTTCTTGTGGCCATTAACTTGGATGTGGGTGTTATATACAATATTATTGGCATATGAAACCTATGAGGAATATTAATATATATGATCCTAAACAGGTTTGCCTCATCTGCCTAAGTAATCCCAAAGACATGGCATTTTGGTGTGGGCATTAGGTAATGATTTAACGTAGCTGCTTAAATTTCTCCATTTTCTTGGTTAGGTTTAGGAGGGATGTAACATTGGGTTATTTTGATGGAAAGAGGTCATGTAATCCGGTTGTTGGAAAATTGGGGTCACTAAAACTTGGAGGAGAAGCTCTGAGGCGTTTATGAAGACACTGTCTTTAGAATGTTATTTACCCCACTCAAAAGTCAAAGCCGCCATTCGCAAGCCACACGAGAAATGCACCTCTAAGGTGCCTCATAACACCGCACACACGCGTTGCGAAATAATAAGCCTCCATATTCTCCTATTTATTTCTAAGGAGTGTAAATAAGCTTATATTTAAAAACTCAAAACAAGTTTTATAATTTTCCAATGTGGGACATGTTGGAAATTTGTTTTAGTAAGAGAAAAAACTATTTTCCAATACATGTATACAGGTGTGATTTTCATGAAATTAATGAAACAAACCCATTGGATTTAATCTCTAATGAGAATAAAATCCAACACCGATCAAATAAGCAAATTCTCCAACTCCATGTACTGCACCTAATTATCTACTACGTTGAGGAAAATAAGAGAGAACTCTCTTAATATGCTTTGTGATCACTCTTCCCAAATCAGCCTTGTAACCTTCTATGTATTGGAATTGGAGTTATAAATTTTAATATAAGTGTATTGAGCATTGGTTAAAATATGAAATGGGATAGGCCTTGATGCACTTCAAATCCTCGAGAAGACCAAATGCACTTCATTCTTGTAAGTTGTGACTCAATTTTAGCATGAACTTTGGAAAAACGATTCATTTTCTAATTGAATATCATTGTTTCCTTCATCTTACGTGGAACAACCACAATGAAATAATTTCACTCCACTTGGAATTAAACAATTCATTAAGGCATCAATAAGTCACTCCACTAGGAAAGATAACTGCACTTATGGACTTACCAACACTCTTTTATTATCCAAGTAAAATTGTATAATGATTGTTTTATCTAAAAAAGTGATATTATATATATTTTTTGAAATGCAAAACAAGTAATATTATCGAATTGATAATATTATCCTATCACATATTAGCAATTTATAGGAGGGATGGGTAAGTAATTTATTAAGGCTCTGTTTGTTTATGCTACAAATGCCGAACCGGGGTATTTATGTAACCTGATTCGCGTTTGCGAACATTTATTTGAAATGTAAAAAAAGTAATGATTATCAGAGCAAAAACGTATTTTCTGACACTTTTGTACTCTGAAAAGAGAGCATGTACCTAGTTTTTGGATGCAATTTTGTGTTCTTTTGATAATTAATTTTTTGACCAAAATTAATGCATTGGAGCATAAGATAGTTGGAGCATTTAATGATGGGCCCACACTTTTGCACTGATTTTAAACAAACAAGATGAATGCAAAAACGGTTTAAAATATGAACCGTATTTGCATTCATAAACCGAAAAATGGATAAATATGTAGTATACATTGCAACCAAATGCCGCCTAAGTCTCATGAAAATATTTTTGGACCAAGTAAATGAGATGTTTTAGAATCATTATTTTTCATGGGACCCACCAATTTGCCCACCCCCACTTCTTGGAAAATGAACTAAGCCTTAGTAAACTATGGGTACTATAATAAATTGCTTTTCTCTAAGCATCACACGTAAGTGATGATGGATAATTAATTTTTCCACTTTGAGGGAATTGAAATTGTCAAAACATCATGAAACAAAATTGTCCCCCCTAATAATTGCATTTTATAGGGGTGTCCACGGTTCGGTTAACCGAACCATGCCCCCTTTTTGTAAACTGAACTGGTGGTACCGAATTTTTCATTTCACTAAACCGAAATTGAACCGGTACCACCAGTTAACCAATCCACCGGTTTTGGCTTTTGAATGATTCGATTCTTCAGCTTTTCAGTTTTTTATATTTATAATATATATTATATAAATATATGTATAATATTATGTTATAAATAATAAATGATATATAATATATTATAAATATTTTAAAAATATATAATATATTTATAAATAGATCATTATAAATATAAGATAAGTATATATTAATATATAATGAATATACAATTTATATAAAATACATAGAAAATATGTGACATATATTAAATATATATATAAAATATACATATAAATATATATACCGGTCGGTTCAGTTAATCGTCGGTTTTTTATAGGTTAACTGAAAACCGAACCGGTCCTTCAGTTTTTCAAAAATTCCAAACGAAAACCAAACCGACCAGTTCAATTAACCGCATTTTGCGATTCGGTTCAATTTTTTGGTTTTTCGGTTTTTCATGGACACCTCTAGCATTTTATGCATAAAAATGATCAAAGCAACACTTTTGTGTGGAAAACACTAGATAAGTGCACTTAAGTGGCATACCCCAAACGGACAACTCCTTAAGGTTTAGGGTTTTAGGGTTAGGAGTTTATGGGGTATAAGGGGTTCAGGGTATGGGGCTTAGAACTTTAGATATGAAATTTCAGAGGTAATCGGACGCACCATAGTAGGAGCCAAATAAAGACCGGGCTAGATCTAGATGGTTGAATCTTGTAAGAGTTGACAATTCGTTAGCGAGGATGCAACAGTTGCATGAAATGTCAGAGTTAAGCCGAGTACATCAAATAATCTCCGTGTGTTTTAAAGTTCAGACAGGTTTATTCCTTCTTCTGGGAATTGACACTACAGCTTTCTAAAAACTTGGAGTGAGTTTATCTTGATTGGTTTCTAGAACATTGATCTCATCAATCAATAATTGAAGTACCATTTTACTGCTCACCGATAATTATTAATATGATCATTGTTTTAATAGACCAGTCCAAATAAACTCAGAATAATCAGAAATGGGTATATATATTCACATTAGAAGTCGCTTCTTTTTCTTAGCTTTTAATACCAACGCGCTTTCTGTAATTTGCAGGACAACTTCCATTTTTTCCTGGAATTTTCTTTCTGTTTTGTTCCCTCTTTAATTCTAAATGGCACTGGAAAATGAATAGATAATAAAACGATGAGATGGAGGGTTGAATTCTAATCTGCACCCCAGCCATTTGTCTAATTTCAGGACAGACCAGATTTCAGTTTTCTCTTTTGTTGGTAATTTGAAGTTACAAGCTTTTAGTTTTTTTATTTTTTTGGAAATCGTGGTCTCTCTTCTTCGTAACTGTTTCTTGGTTTTCTTATTATGGAATGGTTTGTTTTGCTTTGTAGCTGGTGGTTTTGATTGCCAAAAGCAATAAATCGAATTGGTTAGTCTTGGAGAAGCCCGGGTATAACAAATACAAAGTTGATGGTGGCTCACACGATACCCGATAACTACAGTTCCTTAGAAGAGGTGAAAATCCCTTTTCTTTTTTGTTTTTCGAGTCTCATATATTGTTTTATTTGAGTGCATGAGATAGATCTACTTCATGTGCTGCAATTGCAAAGAAATTATTGATCCATTTCAAACCTCTATCTGGGTTGTCTATAGCCATCGGAGCTAATGGGCAAGAATCAATCCAACGAGAGTCAACGACTCAACTGGTCACAGTCTTTGTTTTTTCCCCTCTTTTAGTTTAGAGAACAAAGTTGTATACATTGGTGATCACCCCTGAAAGTTTCAATAAAAACTCATTAAGAGCCTCAAAATGAAAGGATCAAAACGAGTGTCTCAAGATATAGAAAAAGTGAACGAGTTGGACAGAGTTGACCTGGATTAGGCATTGAACACATACTTCATATGCACCTTTTCTATAGTCCTTCCATTGTTCCCTCTGCTCTGTCCATTTCTTTCTACTTCCTTTTTTGTAGTGGGAGAAAAAACATTGCTCATAGAACTGCTCACAGCAAAGAGATGATCATTCTTTTCAAAGATATGGGGATCTAGTTCCATGAAAAGTTTGTTTGGATGCCTAGAATGAAATGATTTCATTGTAGTTTTCATTTACATCTGAAATAGATCAATTTCTGGTTGTTAATTAAGATTAGAATGAGGTCGTTTGGGCTTTCCTGAAAATGGATTTGTTCACAGTTTCTGTTATCATCTTTGACTTGACTGAAATAGTGACGAAGTTTGTGTTCATATACTATGCAAAACTAAAAACAAATGATTCTAGTTTATGTAGTGTCAAAATAGGAAAATACTTGGAAAACAGACACATAAATTAAGGGTTACAAATAGTTGGATTGGGATATTGTAGCCAATTGCATTTGAGCCTCCCTAGGCTTGAAATCAAGATTTGGCAAACAAAATGGGATCTGCAATTTTGCTGTTTGCACCTATTCTATAAATTCTTTTCAGATGGGATCAAATGAAAAAACATGTCTCACATATCTCACTTTACTAGTTATCATGATGAAAATTTGTCCTCTCATGGATCACAAAATCATACACTTACAGTATGAAAAGTAATTAGGCAATAGCAGATAATGATTGGGATGGGTATAACTGAAATTTTATCTAGAATTGTTACTTCATTTACATGAAATTATACTGCAACAATATCAAGGAAAATCTGGAAAAAGGAACATCTTCATGCACCAAATTGTATTCATGAGTGAAATCAACTTTTAAGTTCTTACTTTTTTTACTAATATTTTCCACATATCAACATGCATCGCCTATTGTTGTGTAAATTAATCTTATTAGGGTACTTATATAAGTGTATTCATGTGCAAAATATTGGAAACCACCTTAGGTTAAACATATGGCCATTACAGTTCCAAATGTCCATGGACCTGCTGCCATCCTCATGGGGTGCTGGGATCCATCACATAATTTTCTTATATACAGTTTCTAACTAGCAGTTTGCACCTCCAGTGGCAATGTAGTCAACATGCAATCTGCTCAAGGGCTTCATTTTTTTTTTTAATTCTTCCTTTAGTGGTGAGAACTGCTAGTTTTTTAGGTCTTTCATCCAGGAAATGATAGGTTGGTGCATTGAATTTTCTAGAATTTGTAAAATGGAAAAGCCTAAGTACTCCATGTGAGAAAATTATGAATGGGAATATTCCCACTTTTGCTGATGGGTATGGGTGTTGTAAACAAGAAAAAGTATCACAATTATACAATATTAATCTTCTTAAGGCTGACTTTATTTCTATATAAAGGTGATGGAAAACAAAAGTTTTGGTTTTAAAAGGCCCAAAAGTATAACTAAACTTTTTCAGGTTTAATTTTTTTCAAAATCTACTATAGAGAAGGAGCCTAATAGGAAATTCAATGGAATTAAGATTTTAGTTCTTGTTTGTAACTTTGTAATAAGCACGCATGGACTAGAACAGTTGTTTTTGCTGAAGTTATGTTAAGGTAATTAAGATATCTTGAGGATCTGTCATTGTTTGTTTAATTTTTGATTAGTAAGAAATTACTGATTATACAAAATCTACAATTTTGCTTTTTGATTGCTGATTGACTAAACTTGAATGGTTCAGAATTTTTTATTCTTCAATCATGTTATAATGGTGAGATGACCAAGTACCTACCTCTCTTCAGGTCACTGAGGCTCTTGCACGAGCCGGGCTTGAGTATTCTAATCTCATTATTGGTATTGATTTCACAAAAAGCAATGAGTGGACAGGTTTGCTCTCATCTATATGCTTTTGAGATTCTTTTATTTAGTAAACAACATGCTTAACATGCAATGAAAACTAGGTAAAATGTCATTCAACCATCCGAACCAGCACCATATTGGAGACACTCAAAATCCATATGAGCAAGCAATATCAATTATTGGGAGAACCTTAAGTGCATTCGATGAAGATAACTTGATTCCCTGCTTTGGATTTGGAGATGGTAGTTTCTTTTGAAAATGTGTATTAGCAACTTGATTGGTAGATTTTATCTGGATAAAGGAGATAATGGTGTCCCTCTTGTCAACTTTGGCAGCTTTAACACAAGATCAAGGCATCTTCAGTTTCTATCCAGATGAGAGATCTTGTGTTGGATTTGAGGAGGTCTTGGTGCGTTACAGACAATTAGTCCCCCATCTACAATTAGCAGGTTGATATTTAGTTCTCTTCCTTGCGTTATTTTTGTTTTGAATAAATTAACTGTTTTGATTCTTATCAAATATGGTTTTCCATTATCTTGTGCAGGACCAACATCATTTGCACCCATCATTGAAATGGCTATGACTATTGTTGAACAAAGTGGTGGTCAGCACCATGCTTTGTTGATAATTGCTGATGGGCAAGTATATTTTCTATCATTCATTCTTTTTAAAAGGCCATTACCTGATGCTGGTCCCAGAAATTTAGGATAATGGACCTAATCTTATGGTATCTTTCTTCCACAAAGTGGTTATTTTCAGACTCAAACCCACGTTCATATGCTTGTCAACCTAAGGTTTTATCATTGCACCAAGCAATGCTTCAGATTCTATTAAGTTTGAAAAAGGAACTTTGCTCTTGAAGGAATGTTGTTTTTGCATGAATTTTGAACTGACTTCTGATTTGGTAGCTCAGTCGTATTCTTATATTGGATTCTAACACCACGGATCAAGCATTATACAAGAAGATATTATGGGCAATATACTTGCTAGGATGCTTTCTTTTTACATAATTTGTATAATATTGATTGTGAGACCCAGGATCATACAACCTAGTTGAATAAAAAGTAATAGTTTGCAAGTCTAGAAAATAGATTGAAATCCAACAATAAGAAAAACAAATTGTATTAGTTTTGCAATAAAATTATAGAATAATCAGAAGTTGTAACTAAGCACTAAAAGGGAGAGAAATTGAAAGGCCAGAATTGGTCTTTTTGTATATAAAACACAATTTAGCCAATTGTGGAATGCATTTATGTTGTAAGGGAGCACTAAAAGGTTAACTGAAACACACTCAAGATGGAAATTTTCCCATGGATATGTTCTATTGTTGCTGATTCCAGGTCTTTGAACAGTAGAACAATATAATCGGCAATTTACTTACAATGACAAGCTTGATTATGCCTTAACATGCGTAGGTGGATTGCCAATCATGAATATCCTACCATTTCAAGGAGTGCGAATCTGAAAGAAACCTTTTCTTCACAGGTAACAAGGAGTGTTGAGACAGAACATGGGCAACTAAGTCCACAGGAACAAAAAACTGTAGATGCAATTGTAGAAGCCAGGTAATGACCTATGTTCTTTACTGGATTTTTCTTGGCAATTCACATTCTTAAATACTTCTCTTTTCTTTTTTCAGTAAATTCCCCTTGTCAATTATTTTAGTTGGAGTTGGGGACGGACCTTGGGACATGATGAGAGAATTCGATGATAACATCCCTGCCCGTGCCTTTGATAACTTCCAGATACTATGCTTTATTTGGTACTTTTCATTCTGCTATTTGTAATATCTGCCATTTATGAATTGAAGACAAAAACTTCTTTTGCTTGTTCAGTTTGTAAATTTTACAGAAATCATGTTAAAGAATATCCCAATTCAGAAAAAAGAGGTAGAGTTTGCTCTGGCAGCCTTGATGGAAATACCATCTCAATATGAAGCAGCAATGGTGCTTGGTATATTGGGGTATTAAAGGTACTTGTTCGGCATCGCTTTTGATGTTCTCACTCAGTATGAAAGTTGTGCTAGTCTTAGATGCTATATTTTAACTGACCTATTCTTTCTATTTTCCATTCTCAAGCAGTCACCCAAGAGGGGAATCTCCTGATAGGGTTCCTTTGCCCACACCTCTTTATGATGGACCTTCATCCTTGCAGCAGAATGGACATTCTTACAGTGAACATGACATATCTCTTGTCACGGCTCCCCCTAGTGCTGTCTTTGATGACTTGGTACACAGTCCATTACCAGAATAAGTGTTCCCCCTTCTTCTTGATAGAGATTAGAGGAAAATGCAATTGATTGCATATATCTTGTTGTTGAGTTATGAGCGTTGTGGCAAGAATTGATATATTCTTTTCTAATGGGTTTGTACAGGAATGCCCCATCTGCATTACTGATCGGATGGACATGGCCTTTGGTTGTGGGCATCAGGCAATGCAGCTCTGTAATTCTCCAGTTATTAGGCTACTTTGAACAACTGGAAAGATATTTAGTTAATATGTTATAATTAATTTTTAGCAGACGTGTTGCAAGTGCGGTGAAGAACTTCAATTTTGCCCTATCTGCCGAAAATCAATTGAAATCAGAATAAAGCTATATTGAAGATGTTATACTGACAAATGCACAAAGTTTGAAAATAGTATGGTGTTGGTTTGGTAAATTAGATGGTGCATTTTTTGATACATTGAGAAGAGATCCAAGAAATTGAGAATTATAGTGTATTTTGATAATGAGAAAAATCTGCATTGCATGGGGTGGTGTACATTGTTGAAAATGTTATTCAAAATTCAACATTCTGATACATAGCACTTCAAAGTAATAAAATATCAAACTAGACAACCAGAACCATGAAGCATTAATGCTCAAGAACATAATAGATCTGAAACACATTAACCTGCAAGTTACAGATGCTGGACTTTGTGAAGATAATATTGATGTTAGAATCCTACCTATATTTTTATAAGTCAGTACTGTTGAGATTATTAGGGTGGATTTCTAGCCCGTTTCAGTTACTTACAAATGACAGATATTATTGGATTGCGTCTGGGCTAGAGTTGTCAATGCATCAGGTCTGGTCTGGGACAGGTTGGACCCAGTCCCGAACTGATAAGAAAATTATGTAGAGCCAGTCCTGAAGCAGACCCTATAGGGTCTATAATACCAGACCTGGAACCAAAATGATTATTAATTAGGCTAACCGAGTTGAGCTGATAAGATCCAAATACATTTAACATCTATAATTACCTATAAACCTGCTTATATGTTAATTAAACTGGCACTTTTTACCATTTTAGACACAAAGTTTAACAAAAAATTGGCCTGGGCCTGAAAACTTGGGTTGGGCTGGAGTTAGTCTTAAAGCAGTTTAAGCCCAAATTGAACCAAGTCTGATGCAACATGAACTATATTTATGTTAATGAATATATGTATACAGGAAAAATGTCATATAACATTTTACCCTGTACATTCTAGGGTATATTCACTAATCACATTCCATTTCTATGTTGGGAACTTGGGGTAAAACCGTAAAAGTGCCAAACATGAGTATGATGGCTTTCAGCTCCAGACCTAATCAATGTGCACAAGCTGGAGCCTAGTTGCTGAATGCTGATAAAAAAAAAGAAAGCTGGAGCCTAGTTATATTAGGTTTAACTTGGGCCGAACTTGGATCGGCAAAGTTGGGCATTGACTTCAGGTTGGACTGGGATTGAGCATGAGGTCAAGCTTGGTTTGAATTTTAAGCCCAGCCCAATCGGCCCAAGTTAGCGGCCAATTAGGATAGAATTGAAACGACAAAATAGTTCAGATTGAGGTCTGCAGATCCAAATTTTTTAATCGATAAAACCAAATTGTCGGCATGCAATAAGAGAAATATGTAATGTGAAAGCTTAGAATTTAAGAAAGCAAGCATACTACGTCACCATATGTGGTATGAAAATAAAAGTGCCTAATAAAAAAAGTATTGGAGAGTTGGGCTGTTGTGGTGGACATCTCAGCCAGATGACCCTATCCCACCTACATCCTTGACCCACTCCAATCCAGCTTTTCAAAAGCCCAACACCCGCATATTTCTGTCATTCTGTGTCGTGATCCACTGCTTGAAGTCGGGGGTCTTTCTGCCACCTGGACAACGACTAATTCTATGCGGGACCATTAGTCTAAATTGAGACCGGATCTGCTCCTCACACTTGGCGTCTCACACACACATCCTACCATGCATTGGGAACATCTCCCATACTTATCAATTATTATTCATGGGAGATGTTCTCAATGCACGGTGGATGTGCATGTGAGGTGCCCATTTGTGAGGAATAGATTCCGTCTTGTCTAAATTTGGATTTGGTCTTCAAAGAGCACGTCTCATACCAATCTCACAACGCATTTGGGCCCCGTTTGGTTCGCGGGAATAAGAGTCTGGAATCAGAATCGGAATAGTCCATTCTAATTCCAACTATTTAGTTGGGTGGAATCGGAATTCCACTTCCATTCCTTCTGGAATGGCATTCCCCCCATTTGATAGAATGGTCATCCCTTGACCCTCCCTTGGGAATGAAATCCTATTCCAATTCCCATTCCTTTTTAAACCAAACAGATTATGGGAATGGACCATTCCGATTCCAGAGGATTTCAATTCCGATTCTGATTCCAACTGCGAACCAAATGGATCCTCATATTTGTCACAGTTGCATCTAATGGAACATTCCTTATACCAACCTCATAGCACTTACAGCCACACATCGGGAACAATGGAATATCACCCGTACGATAAGGGTGTTAATTAGATCTGATTTGGTCTAATCCAATCCCATGGACACTTTGAATCATTTCAGATCGATCCAATTCAATGTATGAACCGGGTCTGATCACCTATCAACGAAAGACATTCCAACATCCTATCAACATGATCCGACACTATATATCTCATACACGAGGAATCCCAGTCTCATGATAAGATGTGTGGTATCAAATCTTATTGATAGAATACTGGAACTTGTTTTGTTGATAGATGATCCCTTGAGGTATGGACCAATCTGTTCAAATTGATTTTAATTCAGATTGGTTTCAACTCAAACTTGGTCCATTGACACTTGTACTCTTATCTTCTATCAATATATCAGACACTTGTACTCTTATCTTCCTACCATTGGGCGTTCAATTCCTCTCTCTCCCCCTGTCTTCCTCCCATCACCGTTGTAACTCTCAACAACGGCGATTGATGGTGCGCAATCCGGCTGGTCCTACTTGTCAACAACCTTGCCTCTAAACGGACCTACAGGGAGCCTGAAACGGAGAATATGAGGAAGCTCCGGGGTGAACCCGATATGAATGCTCCGAAGCTTAAGTTAGAATTCTCTCAAAGGCAAGATAAAACCAGATGACGCAAAGTTCACATCCCTTGTTCTTGGGGGGTAGGGAGCCTTTTATAACCACCTCGTTCACTCACTTCTAAGCTTCTGTCAGGTCGGGTATGATCACCTCTGGGCTCCTGCCTGTTCGGGTGTCATCCCCTCTGCTGGACAGAACCGCCACTGCTCTCTTTGTCGGAGCCGTCTCTACGACTGGCGATGACGGTGGCAGGTGGCCGTTGAAATGCGGCTGTCAAGTGTCATATCCCAAGTCAGTCAGGTGCGCCGCCCTTGGATACGGACCCCCTTGGTGTCAGGTATGGTACGTTTGTTCAGTTCGGCGTCCTGGAGGCGAAGTGCTGGAGTGG